GGGCCTGCTTGTTGTTATACATTTTTGTGTACAAAAATGTATTTATTTCAATTTTCGACCTATGGGGCATTAAGTTTAATCCGTCCACTACAAACCCGAAATTTTTCCTTGACGCTACCGTGCACGCACGCTCCGTTGTAGGCACTTTTGAAAAGCCTTGCTCTTAAACTGTCGACTACTGGGCCCCTTACCCGAGGGGGAAACGACTGTTAAACTTTGTGTCAGTCGGATTACCTCCGGGAGTGTCCTCCGGATTACGTTGCTTTTTCTCTAGGATTACCCCGGATTACCCCAAAATTTTCCCGGATCACCCCAAAATTTTCCCGGATTGCCCCGGATTTTTTGAGAATTTTCTCGGATCACCCCTGCCGGATTACCTAACGGCTGTCAGCCGGATTACTTCAAGTCGTTTCCCCCTCGTCCTTACCCTATGACCCGTGGAGAGGAAGTGGATAAGGCGCGGCCATTGTAGATTGTGAACAATGTAAGCTTTCAATACACGCAGGTTTTTATTTTGAAAGTTCTTAGCAAACTGTAAAATACATTTCATTTTACAAATTAGCAATCCTGTTTGTTTTTCTGGAACGCAGCCCTTCTAAGGCCCGATTTTTCGACGGCGAGGTCGATCTTTTCGCTAAGAGAGGCGTCGAGGGTAGGCTGCCTGCTCAAGATGTATCCGAATTCTGTTAGGGACGGAAGAACACGAATGTAAGCCATTAGTATATTAAAGAATTCAAATCACACTGTGACCTGAATAAGCAACGTTTAGCTTGCAACTAGTATGCTCCGATCACTCACCAGCTTTCATTGGGCCGATGGCAGAGCATGAATACACAACTGAATAGTTGGTGTAGTCCGTGTCCAGTACGAAATATGAGGCTTCGCGGTGTCCGAACACTGTACCAAGAAAAGGGAGGGGTAAGTGCGAGTACTTCCATAGAAAAGGCGTACACGAAGTTGGATTCATTAAATCAGTGTAACGTACAGGGCACTTCAAACACAACGTTCAGCCTGGCTTCTCCAGATTCACCGACTAATTCAGCATAACCCTCTTGAGAGAGCTCGGAACCAAAACTGCAACCACAGTAAATTTATGACACATCATGAATCGAGAAATAAATTGCACTAGATGCACATGAACCACTTCTTACACTTTCATGCTGTTCTTGACGTGAACCCTGCCGGATTCTTCTAGTGTGTAATCTGCAACAGGGCACTTTCCACCATACTGCCAAACTTGTGAGGTAGCCTCAGCCTGGTACCAGAAACCTACGTACTGCAAGAAGAAAGGTAGAAAAATTTAGTACACATGTACGTTACATTCTGTATTTATACCACACCGCCACTCCTCGTCTGTACTGTGCGATGCGGCCAACATCTTAAAAAATACGACAGTAGTGGTATAGGACGGGCCACAGTACAAAACACGGTATAAACAATGTCTTATATTTTGACGGAAAAGGGAAAACATAGAGGAACTCTCCTGGTTTGACGAAAACTCCTCAAAAAATGTGGGATTTTCCCTAAATGTTTGAAAATTTTCCTCAAAATCTGAGGACGGAGGACCAAGGAGTGGATAACTCCCCTGTCAAGTGTACACCCCTAATTCTGACCAATTCAAACTAATTCAGACCAATTCAATTTAATTCAAACGAATTCAACACTAATCCCACTAATTCAGTCCGATTCAAGACAATTTATGTTCAATTCTAGCCAATTCAAGCTAATTCACGCTAATTCAGTAACATAAAATCGCAAGAATTCAAACCAATTCAGTCCAATTCAAATTCAATTCAACCTAATTCAAGCTAATTCAAATTCAATGCTTGTAATTTGTACATCCAATTCAGGAGTTATCCACATCCACCCTTCGCGGAGGACCCTTCCTCAAACATAAGAGTTCCTCAAAGTTTTACCTTTTTACTCAAAGAATGACACATTATTTTTACCGGCCGAACGCCCCGTACAGCCAACGCCTGTAGACTACTAGACTATCGCTTGTCCTTGCACAAACTCGCTGTTTCTCTTTTTTAAAATTGACTCTTTTTAACCCGATTTTAGAGGTTATGCAATGATTTTTTCACCTGTCATCTGCATTGTAGAAAAAATACAGAACAACACGAAGAATTCGTTCTGAAAAAAGTTGCCAGAACTCTTGGTGAAATCACAACTCTTCATTGTTTTTAAAAATTGATAAACTTCAAAATATTATTTGGATTAGTTAACAACTCTTTCAAATTAAGATAGCAAAAAGCACTATTTTTCAATTCAAAAAAGGAGTGTGATTTCCTAGTTGCTTCGTATCGTGAAAGTGTTGGAAAATCACTGTGACACTGTGACAGAAGTGCGTCTGACAGAAGTCAAGAGAGCAACTTTTTCGTTTGATAGAGTATCGGCGAAAACCCGTTTATTATAAAACTCGCTTCTTCCGAGTGCGCCCTCGTCGGGTCACCCTCGGTTCCCCCTGTAAGGTGAGCGCCTTCTCGGGCCAGGTTAGGGGGCGCCTGCGCTAGGGGTGAATGGGGTGGAAGCCTGCCAGGGGCATGGTTAAAAGCCTGGCCCGGGCATGGGCACATGCGGCACCTCTAGGGGGGCTGGGGTAAGATCGCCCGCCAGTCACCCATTTGGCTTTATGGTATATGGGACTAGACCGAAAAACAATCGACTGATTACACTGGTAAGACAAAGGTTTGAATTAACACCTTTCCAGGGTCGTTAAAAAGGCGCTAACGTTTTAGTTCCTCCCAATTATTCTTTGATGAAGCAAACCAAGGTTTGTAGAACTTATATTTTCATATTCAGCTCAAAATTCCAAATTCAAATCCCAAATGAGAGAAATGTAGTAGTTTCCGGAGGGTCAGTTACATTTTTCACCGTTCTACAGACACATTTCACATGTAGGCTCGTTCGAAGCGGAATTTTGGGCTGAATGAGAAAATATTAGTCAAACAAACATTGGTCCGCTTCAGCAGAAAATATTTCGAAAAAAACTAAAACTTTAACGCCTTCAGAACTTTAATGCCTTTAAAAGGTGGGATTTCACACCTTTGTTTTACCAGTGTGTTGTCGACATACGCTATTTTTGTCAGATGACAGGTGATTTTCAGTTTAACGATAATAATACTTCTGGTCAATGCCGGAGTTCATTCAAACTCGGTACTGACAACTTTGTTCTTAAACACCAGAAGCTGAAAAGGACTTGAAATCAAACTTTTGTTCCAAAACTATGATTTCTTCTCGAAGGCCAACTTCCTAGCTCAGGTAAAACAAGTGCGGATCTTCTACACACATTGTAGTAAAGTTACATGGCATGCCCAGTTGAAACGTCTAGAAAATGGGCAAATTCTGCATACTAGTATTTTCCACACTGGTCTTCGAAATGGTACAGGAAACCAAAACCAGGTGTCAAAAGTTGCACACTAGGTGGTGTGTAGGGCCTGTACGTTTGCGGGTGTTCGTTCACATCGTGAAATTGCATTTAATTTCGACACTAGAGAGAGTGCAAAGTTTGCGCATTTGAGAAGCACAGCAATTGTTGCGCAAACTTTTAACATTTGTTTTACAAGTTAGTCCATAAACAGCATAATTGATTGAAAACCAAAAACAAACAACAAAAAAAAAAACCCAAATATTTAGAAATAACAAAGGTGTCGAAAAACGGTAAAAGTAATAAATCACATGTTGTGTGTCGACAAACTACAGTGAAAGCCGCTTATTACGTCACCCGTACGTGCGACGAAATCTCAATGTTATATGCGGGAAACGCTATATCCGGTTGAATACTCTAACGCGGAAACCAACGTTAAGCGATCGGAGCCAACGTTACAAGCGGAATAACATTATATACGAGCAACGTTCTAAGCGGCTTTCACTGTAGTTCTTTTCAAACAACGTTTGTTAATGAACAAACATGTCATTGGTGAATTTCATTTGCAGTATCAACGAGGGGGTAATCACTTGGATAATAGTTCGTACACCTTTCTCCGAAATAAATGCGAAATGGTTCGAAATAACAGCAAAATAGAGCGAAATAGACCCGAATAAAGCATTCCGGTTAGGCTCATATGAGATGAATACGGGGAAGAAGAAAAGGTAAACCTCTATGCTTTAACATGGTGCCTTCCGTTTTCTTGTTCCTCCCATTCTTCTGAATTTCAGCTTTACCGGAATGCTTTAGAAATTGCCGCGATATACCCCCGAAATGCCGCGAAATAATTTAAAACCCCGAAATAACAGAAATGGCCGGGGAAATACCACGAAAAATCCCGTAGTCCACGCAGTTGATTTTCCCTCGGGTATCAACGTCACTTATGTGTTACAGATCTATTCACTAACAGTACATGTGTCACAGCAAAATAAATATTTGGACCCGCAAGTGCAGTAAGTGACGCTAGCAGGCAATGGCCTCACCGCAATCGGCGCTGCTGCTAATGCGCTAAAATACAAGCGTGGGGCTGGCCCAAATACGTCCCTGTTGGTCTGTCACTGGCAACAACAAACCATTCCTTAGAGCTCACGAATAGAAAGAATGCTGGGGGAAGAAAACGGAAGTTCCCCATGCTGGAGCAGAGTGATCAATGCATTCTTCTTCTTTACAGCTTGACCAGAAAGCTTTATTCTATTTGCACCGGGTTTACATGCTGTTTCTTAGGGGCTACGGGGACTTACTTGTTCAGGCTGAAAGTTCTTAACGGCATCCTTGTTAGTGGGGCATTTACCAAAGCTTATACCAGCCTGGCTGTGGGCCACGAGGGCCAGAAGGCACAGTGCGGACAGAAGACGGAACATCTTTACGCTCAGAGTTCGGTGGCGAGTCTGTGTTCCTTTGACCGATGACGTGCTATTTAAACTCCCAAACACGCCAGCCACACTGTTATCGTGATTTTCTTTTTGAGGGTGGTGCTGCCTACGCGTATCAGTAGCATGCACTGGTCAAGATAAGGTGCAAAAGCCATAACAGGTCCTCAGGTGCTTTACGTGGAACCTTCGAGCTGCATCATTGAGTACATCGGATGAAATGCAGTTTTTAGGGTTAGTTGCCCACGACGGACGTCCGAGGGAGCCACTAGTGCGATTTAGGATGTACACGGGATTTCGCGATTACACGGATTCCACGTAAATTTTGAGGCATTACACTTGAATACTGTTGAATTACTGGATGTAAACCCGTTAAAATTGGACAATAAGGTAAAATTTAACGATACTGTCTTAAAATTTGGTCAAGTCTTACACGTAATACAGAGGGGTCACAAAGGGATTGCACCCTCATCTGTACACAGGACTACGCGCGTGGTGGACCCCACTCGGACCTCGTACAGGGTCGTGCTTGGAATTTTCGAAATTAGCAGCTGGGTTTTAATGAAGAAGATGGCTCGCTCTTCCGCCAAACGGAGCTGCTAGCTACACTGCCGTCCGCTGGCAACTCCGTTCGCCAGGGCCCGGGCCTGCTTGGCCTGACGGCAGCGTTTGGTGAGGCTTGCGGCTTCCGGCCCGACCTTTGTGTCACTACACACACATGTGATTTTAGAGTTATAAGACCACGACAAATGCTTCGAGTATGTCGAATTTTGGGCCCGGAAGGCCCTCTTCCCGTTTACTCTCGCGTGAACTGTCAGCGCTGCTGGTCTGGCGTACATATAGCCAGTATTGTTTTCCAAACGGTGTTGTAACGGCACTTTTGCCACTGTGTGTAACATATTTACCTCTTCCTCCACAACGCTCATGGATACGGAAAGTCCGAGGACTAATCTTGATTCAGAATTCGCTACATTGGGGAGGTACTTCCTCTTCCTCTGTCATTTATCGATTTTACAGCCTCCCAGTACGTATTTATGTACATCAGAGTCAGTTTTGGAGTATTTTCGTCGAAAAAAGTACAACGTTGAGCTAGGTCTACAACTATTTCAAATTAAGACAGCTAAATGCTTGGTTTTTAGCCCACCCTTCTGCTTTGAAAAAGCTATCCAGCGGGCTTATGCAAACGACCTCGTGTGTGTCTGCCTGTCTGTCTGTCCCTCTGTTCCACTAGAAGGAGATGTGCTAGAGACTTGAAATTTTCATGGTATCTTAAGGTCCACTCCTAGAGAACGAAACGCCTACGGCAAATCCTGGCAACCACCCCCAAGGGTGCAAATGGGGGTATCAAAGGTTCAAAAATTTTCCGCAAAAGTATTGTTTTTTATGTTGTCCTAAGGGGTAACTCGTGAAAGTAGAGCCCGGAGACGAAACTTTCGTCCGTTTTGCTCTATCTCCAACCGTTTAGGCGCTAGAGGGTCTTTTTTGACGAAAATAAGCTAAAAATTACCATAGTGAACAATAAGTTGTAGAAAAAGGCCTAAAAACCTCTAAATAGAAAGGAAACTCTCCCCCCCACCCCAAAAACCTTTTTCTAAGCAGAAGGGTGGGTTGTAGTCGCGGTGCTTCACCGTTACATCCCTTTCTCGAGTCTTTGGGGCAAACTCAAAGACGACGGGTTTAAGCGGGCCGAATGCCCGCTACATCATTCGATCATGTTCTTCAGCAAATCGCGTGACAGAAATGGTCGGGCCGCAGGCCTGACTATCGCCGCCGGCAGGCCAAGCAGGCCCCTGCCGAACGAAGTTGCCGGCGGAGCGAAGCGGAGGTGGCAACTTCGTTTGGCGGAAGGGTGGGCCTGGTTGTTGACGAACGAAGTAGTGTTGCAATTTCACAGTTACCGCGTACCAAGCAAGTGCTGGGAAATAACAACATGTTGTTGACTGTGTATAATGGCCCAGCCCCGACCGAACACCGACGGCAGTTCGAAACTTAAAAGTTTTAAAGTACGTATTCTCCTTCCGATAAAGTTCAAACTTCACAGTACCCAACAAGTGTTTATTCCCATATACGTTGTATTGGCGAATAGGAAGGTGGGGCGTTGTGTTGTTTGAAATCACATTAGGACACGACTAGATTGTGTCGAGTGGGGTAGAGTTCAAGAAGGTTCTTGCCCGGACAAAACATCGCATGACTAAAGAAAATGGATATTAGGTAATGAAACGGACTATCAGACCACTCTTGAAAAAGCGGTATCAGCTGTTACGAAACAATGTGGCGTTGATTTCGTTCCCACTCGACAAGGAAAAGGCGCAGCCCCTACTCTTGCACCCCAGACTGTCTACAAAGAGGCAAAGTGTGCCCCCTTCTCCAGCATACGGTGTCTCGCAGAACAGGCTACCTGATATTTCATCAAGCGCTGTTCCATTTCGACGCCCTCGATGTATTTTTGCCAGTGGGACCGCAGAGAAATTAAAGACCGGACTAAAAAAGAACAGTAATGATCCCTCCTGGACTTTTTCCTACCCGACTCTGAACGAAGTTCGTGAACCCGCCACCAGGTCCTTCACACGCGACTGTAATCTACTGACGGGTCCGAAAACTTCGTCCCCGTCAGCTTGGGTAAGGTGCCCTAATGTGGCCACTGTCCATTGATGGCCACTTTTCTCGATTTCCAGCCAATCTGGTCACTTTACAATCTTGGCCTTGAAGTAGTGTTCCAGTAAGGCCCCTACTTGGGCATAATAAGCCAAACTACTTCACATCGTTGTTTACATTACAAGAAAAAGGGGTGGCCATCATTGGGCAGGCCCATTCTTAAGGTAGCCATCATAGGGCATCTTACCCTAATGAGCCTCAGGGAGGAGACAGTTTAGAATGCAATGCTTTTCTGTCTTGCATCCGGTCCAGGTGAAATACTCCATCGTTATTTTCCGAGGGGGTATTCACTTCCGTAATACCCTGTTCACTCCACCTGGGTATTACTTGTAATGTAATACCGAAAAATAACAAAAATGCTATAAAATGGAAAAAAAAATGCGTGTAATACCGGCGTAATACCCGGTAATACCACGTAATTCTGAGTAATACCGAGTACTCTGTACAAGTTTTATGGTAGTGAATACCCCCTCGTTAATTTCCTTATCAGCCACCTCCTTGTGGTTAGTGTCTCCAGCGTGATAGCCTTCGCGAGGCGGCGCGCGTCCCCAAGCAGGTAAGTAGACGAGAGGGTGTGCTGGACACACCTCCCCTTCACTGGTCCTCTATGAGAGGGGGTTGTGAAGGTAACACGGGGTAAAATTCCCATGGTGCCCATGGGAATAAGCTATTCCGGAGAAGTGGTAGAGAAGAAGATCTTAATATCAAAAGCGCTACTGCGTATAAGCAGTCTAGGGTGTGGGGTGGCCCAGCTAGAGTGGCACCGCCCCGCACCCTAATCTGCTCATGCGCAGTAGCGCTTTTGTTGTTCTTGCTCTTATTCTCTATTACTTCTCCGAATAGCTTATGCATGCCTCTGTCCCTTGGGCAAGGGTCCTTTTCCCATGGCACCGATGAGCAATCAAAACAGCGTAAGTCCACAAGCCATAATTTTACAGACTGTTTAAACATTCTAGTTTGAGAGATTCTCATAGTATTGCTTTCTGTTCCAAATTAGTTTGAAGAAAAAAGCATGAGCAAACAGAGGAAATTAGTTTTTTTTTGGCTGAGCGA